TTGTTGTTGTTGTTGTTGTTGTTATTATTATTAAATTTGTTTGATGCTGATTTCACTACAAGGCAAGTCTGGGTAGATTGAAATATTAAAATGAAAACATAAATGTATGAATAAATATACAAAATCACATTAAAATTTCAATAAAATACAAGTTACAATTAAAGATGGGCAAAGGAAGGAGAATATATGGGGTGGGGAATGTGGGAACTGCTTTTAGTCGATTAACCACCTTCAGTGTAAAATTTACCCATTGGGTTCAAACCAACTTCGGGTGCCTACAGAAAGTTAGGAAGGTGTGAGCCAACCTCACTTCAGAGGGAAATAGGTTCCAAAAGGCCAAGAGAAGTCTCTTCTTCTGGATCCTGCTGCCAAAATTCCTTGACTGACAGCATCTGCATCATGCTTCATTGTTGGCACAAATGGTGTGGACCTGTCCCATAGGATGATTCGTCAGGTAACCTGGACACACACAGGGCTTTTAAAGGAAATAACTAACACCTTGTATTGCACCAGAAGCAAACCAGTGCAGTTCTCGGAACAGAGGTGTAACATGGACCACTATCGGGGCCTCAAAGACTGCCGATGCTGCTGCACTCTGCACCAGCTGAAGCTTCCAAATTCTCAAGGGTAGTCTCATGAAGAGTGCATTGCAGTAGTCCAAATATGGAATGATCAGGGCTTGATGACTGAATGCAGGGACTCCTGACGCAGAAGTTGTCTCCTAGCCACTATTGCCACCTGATCTTTGAGTCACAAGTCGAAGAGAAACCCAAGTTGTGGACTAGGTCTATCTGAGGTAGTGCCATCCAAATTAGATCTAAAAATCTTAAAGTCCAGGATCTTGAAGCTTCTTTCCCCTTAAGTCAATTGTATTATATTGGTACCCAAACAGAAAGATAAACAAACAACTATCCATTTCTTGGCAACTAGATGCCTTTATCTTGTTTTTATATATTTTAAATAATTTATATAGATACACTCTTGCTATTGCTTTATTCTGACAGCTAAGGGAACTTTCTAATTGGAAAACAAGGAAATTAAAAACTATTCTACTAGGTTATGAGTAGAGAAAGCCCCAAACTTTTCTTTCTTCCTAACATTTTTTTCTGTAAGATTAGGGTCTACTATTTTTTTTTGATCAACTAATTGTTGATTTGTTGGTTGCATTAAGATTTTACTGACTAACTTGTTGTCTGATGTTATGAACTGAGACTGACTGGTCCAAAGTCACCCAGCACAGCGATGGGTTTCCATTTTTTTTAACTACCAATTCACGCATGCACAGAAGCTTCTGATGGGTGGGTGGAGCCTCCTACTGCTGCCACTGCCGGGTCGCCCGATGTGGGCCGAATCAGGAGCAATCCACCTCTGACCCAGCGAGCTTTCATGCCTAAGGCAGCACTAGAACTCATCCTCTCCTGCTTTCTAGCCTGGTGCCTTAACCACTAGTCCAAGCTAATTTACAAAGAAAAAACCCAGACCAATACAGATTTAATTCTTATAGTATTATTATTTTTAGAAATCAGCCTGTAAGTAGCAATAGCAATAGCAGTTCGACTTATATACCGCTTCATAGGGCTTTCAGCCCTCTCTAAGCGGTTTACAGAGT